AGAGAGAGAGAGAGAGAGAGAGAGAGAGAGAGAGAGCATGAGAAAGCGAGAGAGGGAGAAAGGGATGGAGAGAACGATATAGAGAGAGGTGGATGGAAGGAGGGTTGAAGGGAGGGAAGAACGGGAGAAAAAGAGAGAGGAAGAGAAGAGAGAAAGAGAGCGCACGCGCGAATGACAGTGAGAGGTGCAGAGATATAGCAACAGCGAGAGAACGCGAGAGAGAGAAAGAGAGTATGCCGGCGTTGGCACAAGCATGAACTGTAAGACTCATTCACAACATACACGCATCGGGCCGTTTTTCTCAGGTACCTTTCACATGAAAGGCGGTAAATTTCTTACACTGGTTAGTTGCTCTAGCGCCGTGATTAATTTTAAAGCGAGAGATCTTCAGACTTCCCCGACTGGCAGGTGTGCGCGTGCGTGCGTGTGCATGCATGCGTGCGTACACGTAGATGGGCGCACATGCGTGGGCATACATGCATGCGTGTACGTGCGTGTTTATGCTCAGGCCCCGCGTGCGCATCCGTGAGTGCGTACGTGTGTGTGTGTGTGTGTGTGTTTGTGTGTGGGTGGGTGGTGGGGGGGGGCGTGCATGCATGCGTGTGCGTACATGTGTGTGCGTGCGTGCGTGCGTGCGCGTGCGTGTGTGTGTGTGCGCGCGCGCGTGTGCGTGTGTGCGTGCGTGTGTGTGCGTGCGTGTGTGTATGTGCGTGCGCGTGTGTGTGTGCGCGCATGCGCGTGTACGTGTGTGTATGAATGTGAGCGTACACGTGCGTTCTCTGTCGTGCTGCTGCTGCGTGATATATTTGATTCGCCGCTATTACGCTGGGTACGCTTGGTCGGGGATGCGCAAACAAACGTAAACAAAATAAATGAGCACAGGTGGCTCTCATCAGAAGATCATTGCTTCTCATCACGGAAGCAAAACACCCCTTACGCTTCCACGGCGATCGCACGCACGAAAGCACGCACACACACACACACGCACGCACGCACGCACGCACATGCAGAGAGAGAGAGAGAGAGAGAGAGAGAGAGAGAGAGAGAGAGAGAGAGAGAGAGAGAGAGAGAGAGAGAGAGTAGTAGAGAGAGAGAGTAGGAGGTAGAGGAGTAGAGAGTAGTAGAGGTAGTAGGTAGAGTGAGAGTAGGAGGTAGGTAGGTAGTAGGAGGTAGNGTTTAACGCTATATTCCACTTTGAATTGTATTCGAATCATTTCTGTGTACGTCGATCACCGCTACAGACGCCATGTAGTTACGCTCTGAGCTACGCGCCCGCACGCACGCACGCACGCACGCGCGCACGCACACACGCGCACGTACACACGCCTACAAGCACGCACACACGCACGCACACGCACGCACACACCTATACGCACGCACGCCTACAAGCACGCACGCACGCACGCACACGCCTACACGCACGCACACGCCTACACGCACGCACGTACGCACGGTGATGTAAGACCGTTAGAGGGAACAAGCGACAGTTAGTGTGTTATAACGTGTTTATACCCCCCGCGTGTGCGTGCGTGCGTGCGTGTATGCTGTGCTGTGTGCTGTGCTGTGTGCGTGCGTGCGCGTGTGTGTGTGTGTGTG